TTGCATAACTTTTGAGTTTTGTTTTAATTAGAAAAGTATGTCTACTTAATCGGGGCTCAGTTCGGCCAGAAAACACAAGAAATAAAAATGATCACTATGTCTTGATTAAGGAAGAATCAATGTATACATTTAAAGTTGAGAAAGTTTCACAGCGATGTAAACGACTGTGCAGCAAGAAGCTGAAAAGTGTAAAATTTCGGATTATAGCGAAGTGAAATCTAAGCTTTTGGTGCGATAACCGTTTTTCGTGAATTTCTGCCGTTATATTGGATATTTCAAAACACTAACTTGATTTCCGTCAGTTGCTTACCTAGGCCTTCAAACTGGCAAATTATGAGCAAAATCGATTTTTGGACCGTGGCCACGATTTCTTTGATTGTTAGTGGCAATTGCTCTTAAAGCCTGAAAAAAAAACAACAAAACAAAACAAAAAAAAAACAGGCCTGAACGGGATTCGAACCCATGACCTCTGCGACACCGGTACGTTTGAAACATTTTTTAATTTGTATTATTTTCAAGCATATTTTGTAATCAAAGAAATTTTTTAAAAAAGCCTTCGCTGGACTCGTTGACTGAAATGATGTTTGAAATTTTTTGTATTTGCGTTATTTTAAGCATATTTTGTAATCAAAGAAGTTTTAAAAATAGGCCTTCTCTGGACTCGTTGACTGACATGACGTTTTCTCATTTGACAGATTTGAATTATTTTCAAGGATATTTTGTAATCAAAGAAATAGAAAAGGCCTTATTCTATGGACTCGTTAACAGAAATGACTTTTATAACAGTTTTTATCTGTATTATTTTCAAGCATATTTTATAATCAAACAAATTAAAAAGAGTCACGTTAAATATCACCATTTTCCTGCTTTGATGGAGACATGAACTTAACCTTTCGCTCGAGTTTTTACTTTTCCGTTTGTCCTCTTAAACATTTTGCTTTACTGTAGAACCTAACAATGCCCGACGGTATCCGAAAAAAACAACAAAAAATCCTTTTGATCTATCATTGCGCACAAACGTCTCATTGCAAGACTTGGCATTATCCTGTTTTTGCATTGACATTTAGGTCCTTTCACAAGTGGTCTGGCTTTTCAAAGTTTTCCGAGCCCACTTGAAGCTACTTGAAGCTGGCATGTGACTAGCTTATTTATACCCAGTGTGATTCATCACGCGTCCTGTATTACACCATCTCGTGGTCGCAGTGAAAGTGCATTTGGAAATTTTTAAATGTTGTGGTGCAAGATTACATCGTGAGTATATTTTAATGTGGAAGCGCGGTGACCTCACGGTTAGTGCGCTCATCTCCGGATCGAGTGGTCCGGGTTCGAGGGACATTGTGTTGTGCTCTTGGGCAAGACGGTGCCTCTCTCCACCCAGGTGTATAAATGGGTGCCGGCAAATTTAATGCTGGGGGTAACCCTGCGATGGATAGCATCCCATCCAAGTGGGAGTAGAAATACTCCTAGTCGCCTCATGCTACGGAAATTGAGATAACCTCCGGCCTGAAGGGCCACACGGCTGGTATCCAGACTTACCAGGAGTAAAGAAGTCCTTTTTCTGAAAATTTGTGACAAGCGAGAAAGGTTTATCCGGGAAACGAAAAAGTATTAGTGAAGATTAGCCGCCTTTTGCAAGTCAAATGAAGCAAAAGTTTATGAGTTTAAATGGCCGTTCAAAGGTACAATTGTGTTGCTTAAAATCGGTCAAGTTCACTGAAGTACAAAAGGACAAGTTCCAGATGAAGGGTTAGAAGTACTCAGCTTAATTCCATGCAGAAAAATCTAACTGGAGCAAGCTAAGATACTAAACATTGCCTTCCTGAGTTTTCAGCTAAAAATATTGAACATGAGTACGTGAGTCAACAGTGAGGTAACTTATTATTTTCTTTTTTGTACCCGTACGGTATGTTACGTTACCTTCTTTATTGTAAAACGTAACCCTTAAAGAGGCATTCATACAGCTACTTGTAATCAAGTAGCTCAGGAGAGCAGAATCTGATGGTGCTTGGGGCAAAAAGTTTAGTTTTTTTTTTTCCACAAAACGTAGGAAAACAGAAAGTGATCTAGCGAAAGAAAAATATAGGGGTCAACGAACATCTCAGATCCTGATGCACGCGGAACGCAAATAACCAAAGAAAATGGCCACATTTGAGGATGACAGAATTAGAAAGATCATAAATATCCTGCAAAAAAGGTATTGATAACTTCTGTGAGCAGTCCAAAGTTCCGGTTGTCAGGTTGTATGGCTGTCTTCAAGTCCCAAAACGGCGCATGACATAGATTATTAGCCTAGGGGGCACCCAGAATGCCCCAATATGCTCTCCTAATGTATGGATAAAGATATATAAAGGACAGCATAACATTAATTTTTTTGTTTTCTAGACAATAATTACTCTCAAGGACAATAGCACTCGGCTCTCACAGACGCCTGCCTTGGCTAACTCCCATCGCGACGGAGAATCGAATTCAAGCGGAAATATTGATTTAAGAGGAACCTTCAGTGCAGTAAGTTTTTTTTTTGTGGATAGACTTTTCAACGCTAATAGCTAGGTAATATAGCTGAATTCAACGTCATGGATCATGGCAAGCAATTGGAAGACAATAGTTGGTTCTCAGTTTCTGAAAACTACTCGTACGTTTTAGATTCATTTTGCAAACATTTAAGAATAATGACAAATCTTTCCTTTTGTTTTGCTCTTTGGTACCTAGTTTGAATAGAACAATATATTTAACAAGTAAGGTATGAGCTCGATTGAATTGTCAATGAGGCTACTGCCAAACAAATAGCGTACACATTTTTTTCTGACAACTTGCCTTCACGGTTCTATAAGCACTCAATGACTGGCCCCCAGGGACACAGTGACTTTTGTTTCCCCGAGACCCTCAATGTTCCTCGTGGCGAAGCCGAGACGAAACATTAAGTGTTTTGTTATACCTCCCAACTCAAAACTAGAAGAAAAACTGCGACGAAATCATTTGCTTGAAGGCGGCTGGCTCACAAATTTGCTGCGGTTTCAAGGAGCACGACCTGATCACGTGCGAGTCTAAAGTTCAAGTTGTTGTTTCGCTAGGGAGTTAAGGCCGGTCCTCACTTGCGACGCAAGCATAAGCATAAAGATAAGCATAAGAAGCTTATGAGCTAGTGAGGACAGCCACGACATAAGCATAAGCATAAGATTTCTTACTTATGCTTATGCTTATGTTCAGCGAGGACATCGTTGACATAAGCATACAGTGCTCGCTGATTGGCTGAGAGTCTTATGCATATGCTTATGTTTATGCTTATGTCAACATGTCCTCGCTGGACACTACAGCGACATAAGCATAAGCATAAGCATAAGAAGAACGCAAGGTTTTGATATTCTTATGCTTATGCTTATGTCGTGGCCTTCCTCACTAGCGCATAAGCTTCTTTTTATGTTTATGCTGATGCTTATGCTTGCGTCACTAGTGAGGACCAGGCTTAAGTGAATTTTGTTCACCCTAGGGAGTTAGCGAGTTTTGACCCACGACACGTGACGCGTTCTCCTCCAATCGGAAAACGTATTTGAGTTGGGAGGTATAACAATTATAATTGTCAAGATTGCTTTTTTCAGCACGCAAATCAAAGAAAAACTCACTGCTTGTCTTTTGCATAATAATGGTTGCGAGGATTGCTGCATTAACTCGGCACATAAATTTAAAAAGAAAATGGCTCATTATGGATTAACTCTTCATGACGGAATACAGGCAAGAAAAACTCGTCGCTGTTTTATCAGTCTACTGTCGTCGAGTTTTTTTACCAATACCCAGCAATGCAATAATTTTGCCGACGTAGGCGGTTGAGTATTTGTCTGCTGTGGCCGCAGCCGGATAAATGCGTGCTATGTAATGATATAGTTTTGGCGACGAAGAAAAGTTCATAAACGCCGTTATTCAACGGATTCTGAATTTGAGAAAATGCGCTCAAATCTCAGAAGCGATTAGATTACGGATTCACTTAGTATGTATGACCATGTACACTCTATATTTTCGAGGAATTAATTATATATAAAACCAATTTTTGTCACCCTAAATAAAATACGCAGTTTAGTACGTTTAGTACGTTTATGGCTCTCAGACTGTCTCTGTTTTACGTGCTTGTGAAATCTCTTCTGTTGCCAAGGTTGCCCCAGTTTTCCTAAACTTCGTTTCTTTTCTACTCTCTCATAATAAACACCTGTTGAATGTCTCCAAGTCGAAAATTCGCACATCCCAATGTTGCTTGCATACAATAACAACAGCTCACTTTACTTGATGCGAAAATGTGAGAGGGCTAATTCTCCTCCGCTTTCCTATCCTCTGTTATTACAAATTAATATTATTCGAACATACTGGTCTGTTCGCTAAGTCACCATGATAAATTGCTAAGCGATTTTCCTTAACTTATTCTTTCCAACCCCTACTTGTCTGATTTTTTTGTTACGTTCTATTTTTCTTGCGGTATCCTTCAAAAATATTATAAACATTTTTGTATAAGATGCCTTCCATGAAGGTCTAGACTCACTAATTAAATACTATAAAAAGCGCGTTTACAAAATGTATTTTTAAAACTGCTACACATCATGACATCATGCTGATATTAATACCGTGATATTTTCCATAGGTTTGCCCCGGGAGTTGTATTACGTGGTGTAAGTAATTCATGTTGTTATGACAATGCAATGATTTTAATTTCGTTCACCTTGAATAAAGAAGAAGCTGCCTGAAAGTGGCTCCATAATCAGTTTTACGAATGCGCACGCGGGCTGTGAACAAGTTGACTGTACGACCAAATTTTCAAGTCAGTGTGAAGTATTTCAAAGAAAACATTCAGTCTTTTTAAATTCAAATATTGTTATTTACTTTCAGAGGTGATGCATTTGTAGAATTGGATGAAATTTCCTGTAAAATCGTATACAAACCAAGTGGTTTGAAACATGCATGCTCAAATGGGGATCTTGGCTAATCCTATGTTGATTGCGTAATATTGGGTAAAAAGTAAAAGCTTTCTTCTTGATTTTCTTCCCTTTCTTCGGTGAAAAGTCCCACAATTTAATTTGGCAGAGGGTTTAAAATTATTTTGCTTTACCTAGCTCTTCTTATTTTGCTTCACTTAGCCGATCTCAAAACCGCTGTAGTTTGTCAGTGTGAAGTCGACAGGGAAATTAACCACGATTTCTAACCATCCACAGGTACACGGCTTGACTCAAAACTGATGAGGATCTGAACACACTCCGTTTCCAGCGTCCTAGCCACTAGTGCACGTGCCAGTTTGACTCGTAGAATACAAATTGCTACGACAAATGGTTTTCGTCGTGAAGTCACTAAGGCTCATTAAGCTGTTGCTTATCTTACTGTGATAGCTGTTGTGGTTTTTTTAGCGTCATTTTCTCCAAGAGATGCCCCGTTCCCATTTTAGCAACCCAAACGTGAGCCTGCTCGCAGGTTACATAATAGACCATTTTCGAGTTCCCCTTTGCTTCTGTTTCAAAACGAGTCTCCGTGCAAAACTTTTCATATGAAAATGAGTTTGGTTTCCATGAAAATGAACATGTAGGCGGAACACATTTTCACATGAATGGTTCGCACGGAGACTCGTTTTGGCACAAAGGCAAAACGCAACTCAGAAATGGCTTATTTAGGTGACTAGCTGTCTGTCCTTGGTGTTAATCTGTCATTGTTGTTTTGTTATCTTTCAGTAAAGATGTCCATTTCCAATGTTTGTAATCAATCTGTGGATGACGTGGATTTTCTAGCACAAGAAGGGCGAGACTATTTCCTTACCCACGGAATGATTTACAAAAACCAAAACGGAAACTTAGAACACAGACCATTCACTTTGTTCCCTACTCCTTTTCCAAAGAAGTTTTTCACAGCTGCAAAAGAAGTTCAAACGGATTTTAATCTGCTTGTACACAACGCCAGCCGGGACTACGAATTCACAAAGAATGCGCTAAAAAGGTATGTAACTTTGAGCTTTGAAATTTATTAAGAAGACATGATTGATCATCACAACTTAAGTAGCAGTGAAATTAAAGCCTGAAAAAAAAATCAGGTTTCTAGTGAACGGGATTCGAACCCATGACCTTTGCAATACCCGTGCAGTGCTCTACCAACTGAGCTATGAAGCCAACTGGGAGCTGGTCACGTTGTGTTCGTAATATACCCGTAGATGGTGAAGAATACAAGTGAATATTTGAACTGAGATCATATATTTGAACAGCGGACAAAGATATGAAGACATGATTGATCATCGCAGTACTGCAATGATCAATCGTGTCTTCATATTTTTTCCCGGAGTTCGGATATATGATATTTCATACATTCATTTCTATTTTGAACTTTATTGCTTCCATCACTTTTAATACAATATAAACTTATTATAATTTTAAAAGTAATCTTCTTTCTTGGCTTGTACAAAATGCTGAAAATCTGTTCGCGGCCTTGCAGTAACGACTCTTTTAAGAGGGCTTTTTTTCAAGAGGGCTTGGATATGTAGAATATCCTCCATTTTCCTTCCCAGCCTATGCATTGTCTTTCCATTCGCCACTCTGATATAGCGTGTCGTAATGCGAGAGGTATACGTTATTCTACTGCTGATGGGACGTTTGTAGTTTAAGCGTTTTTCCTGTTAAGATTAAATGATATCAAGCGCTTTGCACTGTTTTTTTCTTTCATCCCTTAGCACAGTAGCAGCTGATTCATTCACATCAAAATTATTTGACATCTACGAGAAAGCGCGAGAACAAGGAACCTCTCAGGTCAGTGCACAATCTCCTACTTCAGGTATTCAACTACCATGCGTTTGTCCAGGCTTTGAAATAAGTTCCCATTATCCGAACACATTTTCTAAACGTTTAAACATGTTTGAAAAATTCGAATTAATTCATGTATCACCAGAACTGCGGGAAAAAACTGACGACGTTCATGCGAATTGACCTTCTTGGTATTCAAGGGGTAATTTTGGTGCCACTCATGATTAACAGCCGAAATGTTTCATCAGGCATTTCTCACTGAAATGCATGGCATCCTTTCATATTAACACATAGATTCCATGTTGCCGTGCGTCTGTTCAGTAGATCACCGATGACGTCAGAATGTGGTAAGAACAAGAAAGTAGCACACGAGCCGTGGTGGCACACGACACTGATGTGTCACCACATTTTGACGTCTTCTGTGATCTAATACAAAGATTTAGGCCAGCCTAAAAGCGTAGCTCCTGGGCCGGGTTGTTCAAAGCCCGATTAAGCTAACCCAAGAAAAGGTAGAATTTTGAGGTTTTCTGTATATTGTTTGGCCCTCTGTTTTAAGTTTTAATAATCATCATATACACAAAACAAAGCAGCAAAAAACATTTGTATAGAAGAAAAAGTTATAATTCGGTAAACTTTTAATCCTGGGTTAGCATTAACCGGCTTCCAAACAATCCTGCCCTGTTTTCAACAAGTTAACCTGAGATGAGCTCGCGATCCAATCGAAAACCAGCACTTGGTCAGCGGTCAACTTGAAAAAACACGCGATCTCGATAAGCTTTAAACTTGAGCCCGCGATATGGTCATGTGATACTGGTCAGCAGATACCTTGTTTTGACAGGTGTCAATTGATCATAACATGGATGTCCAATATCAAAGAAGTAAACGATAAACCAAGGCTGCATGTCTCTGTCAACCTATCAGTTGGAGTACGGCCGCCATGTTTCGCGACTCCGTCGTCGTCGTCGGCGCCCCCGTCGTACGTACGCGTCCACGAGCAATACCGCTAGCCATGATAACCATGAGAAAATCAACTCATGGGTTTCCTTTTCTTTCCAATATGAGTATGGGGCTCCGCTTGGCGGCTTTTCGGGCCGCCGAAGCTCCGCTATTAAGGCGGCTCCATAGGGTAATCATTTATCACGTTGCGCGCGCTAGTGTTATGTTTTGAATGATGTTTTTGCATTCGTTTTTACACCCAGTCCTTTAAAACTCATTAAATGTAATAAGCAATGATGATATGTTGATTTACTATCATCTCTCTTAAGATCTTGGCTTTTAATGTTGAATAATAAATGCCCAAACAAATGCGTTGTTTACAGTTTTTAGGGCTTTATATGTGATTTTCTTGAATTTCCTTCGGTCAAATTTTCCAAAATTTTTACGGTACATTGAATACGGCGGGATGCGAATTTTAAACCCCCAAAAAGTAGGGTTTGTAAAGGCAGTTTTTTGATATTTNGCATGTTAACTGACATGGTCATAATTTTGAAGATTAGTTAACCGATACGTAAAATTTCGAACGCTAATATAGTAAATCAAAAGATAATTTCACGTTTACTTACTTTGGAACTCTGACTTCACACATGAAAAAGCGGTTTATTCACTGGTGAATAGTTTAACGCGCGCCGTCGCGGAAATCTGTACCTGTTCCATGTTAACTGTCACAGTCCTATTGTTATACAGAAAGTTGATTCCGCTGTGGTGTCTCCCTTGGTGTGGTAATCTCATAACACTTGGATGCCGCCGAATTTTATTGTTTCTCTGTTTCTCGAAAGTAAAAAAAAATAGGCGAGTTGTACGTGCATTTCGATTTCCAGGTCGGCAACCCCCGGACCAAATTGGCTGAAATTCGGAGAGAATGTTGTCAGAACGATCGCCGACAAAACTGTTTCTGCGAATTATGATATTCTTTTCATTAAAAAGTTATGCCTTTTTTTTCGCGGGCAGTCCTACGTGGCAAGGAGTCTTTGTTCTCCCGGGGATTGCCGTGTCAAGGGGGCAGCTTGTTGTGATCTCCCTTGGAGGTGTAGATGGAGGATTTTGAAATCAGTTAGGGCGTTCAGGTCAATGTTTGGCCACTGTACATCAAGGTATCTTGAGGTTATACGCATTATACGATGTTTCTGTGGTTTAGATCGATTTAATTGGCGTAAAATTTCTTCGTAGATGAAAGGAAGTGTTGACTGGCATTTTTGTTGTCATTTGAGTCACTATGGCTCTTTTGTTTTTTAAAATAAAGCTTAAGCCGTGCTCGGGTTAGTCTGATCTCTGTTAGAGGGTTGATTGACATTCACAAGTTTCCGACGAGTATCCCCCACCTTTGGATGTGATTTAACAGTCCCCGTTCTCTAAATCTAGAATTGCGTAATATCACAAAAACCTCCAATGGCTGGCTTTTTACAAGAGAGGATGGCTATCCCTTTCCTTTCAACTGTAGATCTTTACATGTAGATGATATGGAATCACTCCTCACCTGAACTGAACTAAGTTTGAACCAGAGTTGAACTTATTATTCTCTGTTTCAGTCTATTTCATTGGGAATCTTTCGATCGGACTACTTGATTGACAAATCACACAACGCCTTTGAAGAGAAAGTCGCTGATCTTTGCCTTAAGCAAGTTGAACTGAACACCATATCTATAAGCGCAATCACTTCTTCATGTCGGACTACGAACATGCACAGGTAAACATTTGTTAGAGTAGAAGATTTGCTTCCGAACACAAATTGAACATTATTTAGAGTGTCTCTTTCTGAAGTAACCCAACGGGGAATAACGTTTTCTCTCTTGGATGTTTAAAACTGAGCTAGTTCCCGAAGAGAAACTTAAAGCGGTTTTTTCAGGTTATTTTCCCACTTTCTACAAAGACAGTTTTACTGTAATCAATCGAGTGGGCTCGAATTTCCGACTGGGTTATTGTAATCCTCCCCGGACAAGGGAAGCTGGCTGAGAAAACGCCTGGAAACCGTGGCTAAAGGTCGAGATGATATAAATGTTGACTTATTAGTGTACATACCAGTAATCTCTTGTCCAATAAATGTTGTGTTTATTTATATGTAATTTTGAACTTGCTAGACATCTGCTGAATTTAACTGGATCACAATACGAGGTGAGATATTCCCGCTTTTAAAATTTATGCCCACGGAATGTTATTGGATTATCGCGTTAACCAGTCACATGCATAATTCGTAAAAGCTTGTTGTTTGGTTCTTTAGAGGTACTAGATGTGGCTTCGGAAATCATTCTTTTAACTCCGGCATTTAAATTGTAGTTATTGAGGACATAATCATAGCTAAGGGAATACTGACCACTTATTGCAAATCCCATCATCTGGACTCTCTCATAGCTCCTGATTACATTTGATCAAAGAAAAGTCTGATGCCCCGCGTATCGCTTAAATATCGATTGTGTATGCCCGACTCTAAGAGCGCCTATCTTGTTCATTTTTCTCATACGGCGAGCAGATTCAAAAAACAAAATACTTGTCAATCCGCATCGTAAAATGCCAGTTATCAGCCTCCCCCCTGTCCTTGCTCTCAAGTCCCTCTGGTACACGTGCATCTTTCCGTTGAAGAAAAAAGAAACCCAATCAAAGGACCCTTCGGATAGAACCCTTCCCCGTCCGACTTTTACATATTTACTTCCTAACCAACTCCCCAGGTCAGTTCCAAAACACTGCATTTCAAATAGAAATATCGTATAGGTAAAGAATACGTTTGCAGGTAGATTGTAGATCTAAACGTATACTGAATAGACTTTCGACTTTCCTGATAGACTTACTTGTATCCCTTATCGGTATTGCGGTATCTGCTTTTGCCGGCTCATTTTCAAACGCCCTTTTTTGCCGTTTACGATTCCCCTGGGTATAAGCTGCCGATCTGCAAGTAAGCCAACCCAAAACCCCTTACGAAGTTGAAGTTGGAAGCCACGAGGAAAGCAATCTAGCAACGCTTTTTACTATCCAGGTCCTGTTTTTGATGTTGAAAAAAATTCTTGCTCAAGCTGTTGCTCAACGAAAAAAGTCCGCGTGCACAACCTCAAAAAACTCCCCCTCCTGAAATAAATAATGGTCCATCCCTAATCTGTATTTTACGATATACCTTGTCTCTCTGCTTTCTTGCAGTTACCACCTCCAAATTCTGCGTTAGATGAAGTGGCCGATGGTCTCATTAGGGCCTGGGAACTATATGGAACCCCAAGGTAATAAGCAGGTTATCCTCTTGCTTTTGGCCGGTTTGTGTAATTTTGTTTTGCTCGCTCGTTGAACTCAGATCTTCTTTTTGTTTAATTCTTTTTAGTGCTGTCATAATGTTCATCGTTCGCACTGATGAGGTCAATGTTTATGTCCAAAGGATACTGGAGTATCACATCAAAAACAAGTAATACTGATATAAGCTTATCTAACCGTGGTACGAAAAATAACGACCTCCAGAAAGTAGACGATAAAAAGTTATGGTTGTTAGCAAATTCCGAAAGTATGACGCAAATTAAGGGTTACTCCGTTTCATTTAACACGAATTCTAGATCTGTTCAACAAGAGGTATCCCGTTTTTTCTCTATATATGCAATGATAACATTATTCTTGTATTAAGAAGGATCAGTCCATATGTAATGCAGGTTCAAGTTTAGTTGCTCAAAAGTAGCGACCCCAGAAAAACGCGTCTGGAGAAAGCTGCAAATACCAACTTGTAACAAGGATCCGTCTTTATTTTTCAAACTTTGCGGTATCATCGCACACAGCAATTTTTCTTTCAAGGTTACAACACATCTTTATAATGCTAGACGCGAGAGTAATTTTTGGTCTTGCGATCGCCGATACTGAACTGAAAGATTCAAAGGCGATAGTATCAATTACCATGGGTAAAAATACAATTGCAAACCTTGTTTCCCGTAACATCAAATAATAATCTGGATTTGAAATTTGTCCCACATTCTGGGATAAATTTCATTACTAACCACCCGTGCGGGAATTCTAGTATTTTACCTTTAGGACAAGGTCCTTTCATTCGGAGGAAAGGAAGTATATCATCATGGAATTTTGAATTGATTTGTTCATCACGTGCGTTGGAAGGAAATTGATTAAAATTAGTTTTGAAACCTTAAGTATTGTGAGACCAGAAATCTTCTAAGAATGACTTTTACTACTTGTGCTAAAGTTAATGCTGAATTCAGTGCTACTATGACTAATAAAATGATAAACAGCTGACGCGCTTTAAATCGCAGGAACTCCGCTGTAACGGTAATCAGGAGGACACTTACTGACATTTATAACAACAATGAAATGGACGATGAAAAATCTCTCTTTGTGTGAGTAATATCAGTATTTTCCGTTATATATCTGTTACAGTCAAAAGCCTCTAGCCTCTCGTTACGGAATCCTTTNTCTTCCTTTCTTTCTCTGTCAGACTGTGTCCCTGTAGTCAGTCACTGTACTTGCGCGTCACTGCAGTCTCTGTCACTGAACGTGGAACGTGAAAGTTTAGCCTACATTTTTCAAGCTTGTCGTTCGTAATCCCTCTTAATCTTCTCTATCCTTAACCATCCTCGTTCCTTTATTTTTTGTTATTCTCTTTGGTGTTTTTCTATCTAAGTAACTACTATTTTCAGGTTTCCTTCAATTTAAAAGTAGTTTTGTACGTGGCCAAAATAACTGAAAATACCGTGACTGAGCTCCTTCTGTCTCTAAATCTGTCTCTGTAATCTGTGTCACAATGGGTTTCTCTCCGTACGTAGGCTTGTGTCACTAAAAGCCTTTATAATCAACAGCCCCTGTAAGACTGTTTCCCAGGTATTGAACTACACCTCAGTGAAAAATGAAATTGAAATTTTTCAGGGTCCAGAGGGAGACCTCAATGTTGAGCTTTGTCTAAAGACGGTAGAAAAATTTGTGATGAAACCTCAAAGAGAAGGGGGAGGTAAGTTCCAAGTATTCAATCTTTCCACCCAATATTGATGTCATTAGAAGCAGTTTTGAAAACAATTCAACGTTGTTTCACGAAGTGTCGGTGTATTTAATTAACATTTCGGTGCTAGTTAGGGTAACTAGTGAAAATCAACTGGTAAATGTTAAATGCGAGGAGGATATGAATCTGATTAAGAATTCTCTTGTAACTTGTGAAAGATGACCATTTACATCGGCGTAAGCAAACAGCTTCCCACAATTGCCATGCGTCGACTCCTGCCGTATCATCGAGGAAAAGCCGGGACGCTGGCACGAAAACCTTACTACAATTTTGATCATGTAACATGCTTATTTTGGCTCACTGAACATGCGCGAAATTTCTTTCGTTGGTACAAGGATGCTTGCGGGATATATCTTTTAAAAAATCACCCATCCCTCATATGTCTTTTATCAGCTTTTTTTGTGTTCCAGGCAATCTAATCTACGGCGAAGATATCCGTCGAACGTTACTAAACATCCCTGAAAACCGTGCACAGTACATACTGATGGAGCGCATCGGGCCTGCTTCCATCAACAAAACCCATATTGTTCGCCAAGAGTCCATGACGCCGGTTGACATCATTTCCGAGCTGGGTATTTTTGGGATTTTTATCAGGTAACAAAGATACAGTATTCAATCGATATCAGATCCCACCCCCCTTACCCTGTCAAGTTAGACTGTTCCCAGCCTTCTATTTTCTCGTATTTTTTTTCGATCGTGGATCACGCAGATAGAACCGCGAGAGAGCTGGACAGAAGCGCAAAACGGACGTCTTGCTCGCCTTGCTCGCAAACTCCATTCCCCACCCCCCGCGAGCTTCGCGCTCGATTCGCTCACTTTTTCTTTCGCGTGCGACGTGCGTAAATAGAGAGGCTGTAAACATGTCAAGTCTCCCGTTTTGCGCTGGCGTCCAGTTCTCTCGTAATTCTACCCGCGTGTTCAATAACGCGAACGGGTTCAATGAAGAAAAATTAAATGAAAAAAAATTAAAAAATACGAGAAAATACGAGGAAAGAGAGGGCTGTGAACAGTGTAAGGCGGAGAAATGGGATTGATAATTGCTCCGGGTAAAAAGGCAAGGGAGTGAAGTTACAACTGCATATTCCCGCAAAAAATGACGCTTTTCGCTAATGGTTACCTCGCATCTGTACTTCCCACTCTGGAAAGGTGCTGCTTTTTCCATGTGAAAGATAGGTTAACCTACGTCTTTATGTTCTGTTAGTCGTGGAGATGAAATTCTGGTCAACAGAGAGGGAGGCTACCTGGTCAGGAACAGACCATGGAACAAACTGGAAGTTAAAAGTCTACATGGAGAGGGTGCTTATGGCAGTCCGTATTTGGTTTAACTTGTCCTCGAGTACATCTTTCGTTTGTTTGCTTTATAACCAAGAGTCTACAAAGGCCAGATACAATTCACAGCTTGCAGATTAGCTGAATACATCAGCAATTGCTATTTTTGCCCGCTTTATGCCGTTTTATGCATTTTGGTTCTACTTATTCCGTGATCGAAGCATGTCTGAAAAAAAGCATACCGAACGCAGTGTCTTAATTATAGTTTTTGTTCCGTGTTCGTTAGGCAGTAAGTTGTATTTTTCCTTTCAAAAATATCAGCAATTCAATTGGATGAGTCGCGCAAGCAACAACGCGAAACTTGTAGTATTAATGTGGTGAGCCTTTCCAAGAAAACACTTTATTAATGAGTAGCCTTGAGGGTTTTAAACCTTCTCGAACTATTCTCTTTGAGGAACTACTTACAGACTTATTGTTTATATAGAACTAAACTAAGTAACATTTTGTAAAAATTCTATAACTCCAAACTAAGTACAAAGATTAGCAATTCTCCACGTGTTATGTTATGCAATTTTCTAAAGTCCTCATTAGCAAAGCAACTAAATGACCGTCCCTTTACTTAGAGCAATTTTCATTTGAGTGTCGTAAAACCAAAACCAAAGTAATCACTCTAGCCAATCACAAAGGACACAGACAATCCAACAAACCAATCAAAGCTCGAAGAGATTACATGTAGCAGACGCAAAGCGCGGGAAAACGCGTGCGGTCGAGTCACGATTGGTTATGGTTTTACTTCTGATTGGATGAAAAAGTGGCGCGAGTTTTTTAAGCCAATGGTGTAGCGTAGTTGATGCGAAACCAATTACTTTTCGACACTCAAATGAAAACCGCTCTAAAGCAATAAGCTTTTTGCTTGATTAGTCCGCTGACATCGCGAACATTTGATTACAGTCAAAAGCTATACTAGCACACTACTTTTAAGTTTTAATAGTAATGTAACGAAGCTAAATAACTTGTCAATAAACATGTTTGCTGTATTGTTGTTGTTGTTGTTTTTCATTTTTGCATACAAACTTGCTTTGAAATGGAGAAGTATCCTCCGTTCACAAGTCTTTTCACATCAGTGAACTGGCCGCCTTTCTGAATTGCTCTTTTCAAATTTCCGAGAGGTTCTACTTACTGTCTAGTGGACTTCATAGATGTGAGGAGATGTAAAACACAATACCAACATTTAAATATTTCACATACTATTTGGTACAGAAATTGTCCACTCTTGGATGCTTTTTTCCCATAAGAACACTGCATTTCGCCCAATGTTTACTCCTTCAATGGCAGCCAGAATACGTG